ACCGAAAAAAACCTGTATATTTTTGTATGAGCATCAGTACTTCTGAGCCCTCACTCCTACGAACACAGTGCCAAGCATTTCCTGCATCCCCTGGGGCCGTTATTTATCTTCCCCAAGCTGGACTGTCACTTATCTGTTTACCAGCCTCCCCATCCGTGCAACTCGGGTCCCTCTCGCTTGGCCCGGGCAGGTGCTCAGCCACTGTGGGCCCCTCCCTCTCACATGCGTCCATCTGTGAATCAACAGCTTTTAAGCCCGCTGGTACGTGCTTAATAAATGCTTGGTGAATGAATGCAAGTTGGGCATGTGTACAGACTTCAGCTAAAGGAGGGTAGGGGTGGTGCAGCCCCAGATAGGGTGAAGGAAAAAAGTCCCTGAGTTCTCAGGGTTGAAACAGTGACTACGTGGGCATGTGCTGGGGGTGTGGAGACAGGATGGGGCACCCTGGCATACTGATTCTCAGACCTGTAACACTTGAAAAGGCTCACATATTATTTAGTCCAGTGGCTTCACTCTACAGAAAGAAGACTAAAGAGATTAGGTGGCTTGTTCAACACCACATGTGGCACTGCCCTAAGCTAAAGGGGACCTAGACCCTAGTGCTAACTAACTCACCTCCACCATTACTAAGCGTGTCTAAGACTGAGTTATTTAATAACCAGCCGCAATAGCTACTATCTCCTGAGTATTTGCTGGGTGCTGAGCCCACACTAAAAATTCTCACTTTATCCCCACGTTACAGTTGGAAAACTCAGGTCAGAGGAGAGTAACTTGCCACCAAAGTCACAGAGCTAACAAATCTCAAAATCTCCCTCAAGCTGTCCTACTCCAAAATCCCCCTGGGATTATCCCACACCAAAACCCAACTCTGGCCTGAAGCTGATCTTTATCACCCAACCCTTCAACTGTCTCTTTTGCCAAGCACTGTTCTAAACACCTTTCATGGATGGACTCGCTCATTCCTTGCCACAACCCTGATATTGGTATCACCAGCATCCATTCCCATTTTACAGATGAGTAAACTGGAGCTCTGTGATGTTCCCAGAGTCTCACAACCTGCAGCAGCAAACCTTGTCTGTAAAATGTGATTCTACCAAATGTTCTCTCCACCAAATATTCTCTCCCTATCTCTCCACGCCACCTCTACCACCACCACCACCCCCAAAACTATATCAGTATAAAAATTTCTATTCTAAATCTTCCCTGAAAAAAGCAGCACCAATGGACTATCACTGGCCCTTTACACCAGTTCCCAAACGGTCAGCGGCTACTGCAAGGCAGTGCAGGAAACAAGAAAATGGGTTAGGGGCTGAGACAGACCCGAGGTCAAAGTGTGACCTTGGCCAGGCTTCTTAAACTTGAGTCTGGCCTGTCTCATCTCTAAGATGGGCATGTAGCACTTCCTTCCTAGGTATGGGGAAAAATTCAGGGAGACAAGTTATGTGTCTGACATTAGTATTTACTGGGTCCTCTCTGGGTCCCTCCCTGTTTCCCTAACCAACAGTCAAACCAAGCTCATTTTATGTTCATCTGACCACTAAGTGGTCACTCCCTGGAATCACCTCCTCGCTGAGGTTAGTAGATAACTCAGAACACTCCCAACCCTAACCCCTCCAACTTCAAGAGCAGCAAATCCTACCCCATCCCCTAAAACAAAGAAGGAAAATAAATCAGCCTCCGGACACTGCCACCTGCCCAGCAGCGGAATCCACGGTAACCCGCCGCCTGCCGGACTCCGGCGGTTACTATTATTGTTGTTTATTAACAACAATACCGAACGGTGCCTGGGGGTGACCGTCTCCCAAGTGATGTCCGTGGAAGCCCCAGGAGAGCCCAAAGCGCTTCCGATGCAGATTTCTGGCTAAAAATCCCAGGAATTTATAAAACGGCTTTCCCGGCAGGAGAAAGGCAAGAGTTGTAAAGTTTCTGGAGGCGCATTTTTACGCGTTTCCCGGAAATCGCACTGCACAGGCGATGTCGCCCGTGGTTGGGGACAACCGCGGGTCACGATGGGGGAGCTCTGGAGGTCAGCAGCGGACCCACGAGGGTCCGAGGGTGCCGGCTTCCCCGATGGCCATATGGGACGGGACCTGGCGCCCCAGCCCGGCGGGGAGGGGCCTCCCCACGTACCGAGGGTGCGGGAGGGCGCAGCCTCACTCACCTGCCGTGCTCCTCTTCGCCTCCCGGTAGCGCTCCCAAAGGTAGCGCTTCATGTCCGGGGCGGTCCCAGGTGCTGTGCATAAGGACCGTGCGGGGCCCGCGCGCGACCGCCCCCGAGCCGCAGTCCGGCAGCCGCTCCGCAGGGCCGCCACCGCCCCTGCACCAGCCCCACGAGCCGCCGCCGCTGCCGCCGCCACCGCCGCCGTAGCCATGCCGGCTGCCACCCGCCGCGAGAGGCGCCTGCAGGCAAGTGCTCTGCCAGCGTTCTGCCCGCTCGGCTGGACGTCCCTACGTAGGAGCACGTGGGGGCGCGGCCCGCCCGCTTCGGCCGCCTCGGGGGCGGGGCCTTGGCGGGGCGGGGTCCTGGCGGGGAGGAGTCTTGGTGGGGTGGGGTGGGGCGGGGCCTTGGAGGGCGGGGCCTAGGCCGGGCCCGGTGTGGGCGGGGCAGCAAGGGCCTGGGCACCTCGGGCAGTCGCGGCCGCGCGCGGAGCCTGCTACAGCCGCTTCTTGGCCGTGTGGCGCGCCAAGGCGGCTGTGCGGTGGTGCGAACGCCCCGTCAGCCGAGGTCACATGGAAAAGGATGAATCTGCTGGCCCTGGACCACGACACTTGACCCTGGGGCCGCCCGCCGAGCTCCGCAGCATCTTCCTCCCGCCGTCTGTGACCGTCCCCCCATCCTGGCTGTACTGACATGGTGTCTGTGACTCCGGCTCCAGGAGGCGACCTCTCCGCATTAATGGCCTCTGCGGTCTGGACCTCCCTTTGATCGCGGGGGCGGGTCTGGGACGTCCCCCGGCCCCTGGCTTAGATCCTTCCAGTCCCACGGATGAGCCAGCAGCTGGGACCAGGGCCCACACGTGGTCTGATGTGCCTGAAGGGCACCCCGACTGCACAGCCTGGAAGGCCAGTGCCCCTCCCGAGATTTCTGCCTCGCGAGGGAGGCCCTCGGGACACCACTCCCCCTGCTCATGCCCAAGCTGACCAGCACGGTGCACCTGTCTTCTCTCAGACCTGCGAGGCTGCCACCCGTTCTGTGCGTTGTGATTCCACCAAAGCCAAATAAACAGTGAACCCCACCACGCGACATTTCTGTGTGGACTAAGTCAGACTTGGCTCCTGCGGGAAAGTCTGATACGGCCCACCCAGAACCCGTCTGGGAATCACTGAACTGCGAGAGCTTGCCGAGCTACCCCGTGGTTACGGTGGAGCAGGGCGCTGGTGGAGTGCAATGAATAACCCTCAAGGCTGGTTGTCTGCCTGGGAGACCACACTGCCATCTGTGAAATAGGTGGGGCACGATTTAAAACAAATAACCCAAAGCATTAGGGTATGCTTAAGCTGTGGGCTGGAGGGATCAGGAGATGTTTTCATGGAAAAAGGTGGGCTCTGGGTTAGACCATGACAGACAGTAACTACTATTTATTGAAGGCTTGCAATTTGCATTTTCTCATGCAGTCCTCTCAGTAATCCTAAAATGTAAGCACCATAATTTCTCCCATTTTATAAGTGATGGAACTAAAGCTAAGAGAAGTGACATAACATTCTTATATAATTTATTTATTTTTATTATTTCTTTTTGGCCGCATTGGGCCTTCCGTTGCTGCACAGGGGCTTTCTCTAGTTGCGGCGAGCAGGGGCTACTCTTCGTTGTTGTGCGCAGGCTTCTTATTGCGGTGGCTTGTTGCGGATCCCGGGCTCTAGGCACGCAGGCTTCAGTAGTTGTGGCACGTGGGCTCAGTAGTTGTGGCTCACGGGCTTAGCTGCTCCATGGCATGTGAGATCTTCCCAGACCAGGGCTTATACCCGTGTCCCCTGCATTGACAGGCAGATTCTTGACCACCGTGCCACCGGGGAAGCCCAACATAGCATTCGTAAAGTCACACAGCTGAGCCCATTCTTCCACTTGGATTCCTAAAGTAATAGGTAGGATTTACTTGGGTGATAAGAGAGAAAGAAGCCAGTAAGTAATCCTCAACAGTTAATAGGTAATATCTTACAAATCACTGATAAAAGAGAGGCAATTACAGTGTTTAAAATACATATGGTATCAAATCCATGGACTCTAGTACTTTAAACTTACTTTATGGTTTTAGTTTACTTGAATTTATATCTTTTCTTATTCATATTACTTTAAAAAGATGTGATAGCAATTGCAAATTTTGTTCACATGAACATTAAGTCGTAAATTCACAGATAAATGATAGTAAAAGTTAACACAATTAGAACTTCCAATAACATTGCTTCCATATATTTTTAGATATGGGACACTGTGAGAGCAACATTCTTCTACCTACCACAGAAATATGAATCACTTAAAAATTGTTCTTTTTAGCTATAAGCTGTTAAAATATTTTAAGTGGCTAAAAAATAAATAAATAAAATCCCAATAACCTTGACTATCACCTTGATTATTTTCTTGATTAGAAAATATCTCATCAAAGAGTTCTAAATAAAGACAAGTAGAAAAAAATTACTGACACAGAAGAGCCCATGATAATTTTTATTCTTTATTAGTATCATTTGAGTTCTTCATCAGTTTTGTTTCAAACTGAGATCTTCTCTGCAAAAAACACTTCAGAGAAATTGAACTATAATCTGGGCTATGAAAAAGCCACTTCTCTGAGATGAGCTCAGATAAGGATTCCCAGGGATTATTTGTGCTAAGAGACCCTAGCAGGGGATGCTGGTAAACTGCGGTAATTTGGTGTTTTTCACTCTCGCTTTTAGCTGACAAAATCCTTGGCCGTGAAAGCTTTACTGCACCATCCATTTTACCCAAAGATAAAATCTTACAGGAACAATCTTTCATGCCATATTGCAACATTACTCTGTGTCTTCAGTCAGGTCTTTTCCTCAGCAGAAACGGAAATAATGGGTCTCAAGAACTTTTTCCCTTGTCCTGAAGCATATTTTGATTTATCTGAAATTGTATGAGGCACCAAGTCCAAGCTTTTAGCCCCCTGTGGCTTATCTGCCCTGGTGCACACTGCCGAGCTCACTGTGTCGGAACTCTGAGCGCTGTGATAGTTTAACTTAATCAAGTGCTCCCATAATGAGGCGCCATTCCTGGGACCCTCAGAATATTGCTGGCTCATGCCTTGAGGCCAACATCTCCTACCCCGGATCCACTCATTTTCCCTCAGGAGGCTGCAAAGGATCAAAAGTTGTCAAGGGGTCATTTATAGAACATGAATAAACTGAAGCCTATTTCTTGTTGAGACACAGAATAGAAACTCACTGCAGGATTCCACTGATCGATGAATGAGAAGATCCCAGGTAGGCAGCCCTTGAATCAAGTGATCTGTACAAATAGCCCACAGCCTCCATCATGACTTGATGACAAGAGTTACTTATCAATAATTGACCTGCTGGATATTTGAAAATAAGAATATTAGAATTTTTTTAAATGACTCCTGGCTTCACACATTTAAAAGAGAAGGATAAAAAAACATTTATAAAAGGTGGCATTGGAACATCACCTGTTGTAGTATTCCTGCCAAAAACAATTAACCTGAGTCTAATTATCAAAAAACAGATACAAACTGAAGGACATTGGGGCAGGGAGGGTAGGGTAGAAACTGACCTAGGCTCTTCAAAACTGTGTCATGAAAGGCAAAACAAGCCCTACTTAAATGTTCTAGACTAAAGGAGACAACCAAATGCGGTGGCAGATCCTCAACAGAATTCTGGATCAAAAAGTAAACAGCTATAAAGAACATTTACTGGGAGGGACACTTGGGAACATTTGCATATGGATTGTACCTTAGATAATACTCTTATGTACTGGTTAAATTTCCGGGTTTGACAATTGTACTGTGGTTATGTAGGGGAATGTCCTGTTCTCAGAAGACACATGCTGAAGTATTTAGAGATAAAAGTGTCACATCTGCAACTAACTTTCAAATAGTCCAGAAAAAATGCATGTGTATGTGTGTGTATATGAAAGAAAACATAAGTATGACCAAAATGTTAACAGCTGGTGACTAAAGATAAAGGGTATATAGGTGTTCATTATACAGTGCCATGTGCCAGTCAATAATTTAATGTAATTCTCTAAAATGCATGAAAAGTAAAAAAAAAAAAAAAAAATTACAGTCAATTTGCAAGTGGCACTCATTTATTCATTTTACCCATTTACAAGACTGATTTTTTAAAAAATATTTATTTATTTATTCATTCATTCATTCATTCTTCACTGCCACGTGCCGGATCTTTTAGTTGCAGGATCTTTTAGTTGCTGAAACTTTAGTTGCCGCATGCGGATCTAGCTCCCTGACCAGGGATCAAACCTGGGTCCCCTGCATTGGGAGCATGGAATCTTAACCACTGGACCGCCAGGGAAGTCCATACATGACTACTTTTAAGGGGCTAAATTTATACCATTGATTATAAACATAATGTAAGGCCGGTGCATGTAGGACATCAATCTGGATACATGATAAGAGACTGCTGGGTATTTAAAGGTAAAAAACACTGGCAGATGACCCAGCCAGCATCCCTGTATTAATATTAATAATAATAAACACTGCAAATTAGCTGAGTACTATCTATCAGGCTTGTGTTATCCTGCAAGGTATAAACTATCATCACCTGTCTTTTATTTTTGTCATTTATTCTTTTTAATAGGATGCATATCCACATGATTCAAAAATGAAAGTGTATAAAGGTATGAAGTAAAAACTGTCTCTCCCATCTTGGTCTTCATCTGTGCAGTCTTCTCCTAAAACGTGTATCCTTCTAGAGAACTTTTTGTGCACGTTCATTGACTTTTAAAGATGAGAAAACTGAAAGAGGTCAAATAAGTCACTCCAGTTTGTGGTAGAACGATCCTGGGTCAGCCTCATCTACAACCCATGCCCTTTACTGCTATGCTAGGCTGCCTCTTCACCCCATACTGGATTGTCCTTCTGAGGATCCACGCTACGGCTTCTGTTTGCAGAGATGTTCTCTCTTGTAGCTCTGCTTCATGGGTCATAGCACAGATCTCACATTGCCCACAGCTTCTGCTGAAAATCTGAAGGGGAGTTGCAGCTGTTGGCTCCACTTAGCAATCAGTGGCTATTTTTCTTCTTTTTGAATTATTTTCATGACTCTCTATGAGGTTCTCAGTTGCCCCAACATTACTCAGCAGAAAGCACTTGTGAATTACCCAGCTCAGGATGACCACGTTGCATTGGCCTTAACAGGCCTTAAAAGGTAAAGTGGGGAAGAATAGAGTCAGAATGTCTCAGGTCTGGCTGGGCAGGAACTCATTCTCAAGAGTTCCTCCGGATGCCAGTAACCAGGCCCGCAGCCTGTGCGTTCTGCCTGAAGGCCCTTTAAGAGGCTCTGACTTGCTGGGAGATTGAGACTGTCACCCAGACCAGCTGCTGATGCCCTTGACAGACACTATTTCATGCCTGTGCTCCGCACACTACCTCTTGGCCACACACCGTGGCACCCTCACGAACCCTCTGGACCTGCACTGATAGCTTTGACCTCAGAACTTTCTTGAACACAACCTATCTCTTTCTGGCAGCAAGCACAGTAGTTGCCAGGAAAGGACATTCTTAGCTCAGGCCAACCCCAGTCCACCCCATCTTCCCTCAGGGTCGGTACCAGCTGGGCAGCACTACCCAGCCAGATCAGTCCTTTCAACCCAGAGAAGAGGAAAGTCCAGGATGAGTTCATTTCCACAGGAAAGAGGTCACTGAACCTCCTTCCCACTTCAAATCTTCATTCTGGACGAGGAGGGAACCTAATATTTAATTGCGGAGTCTGTTGGTTGTTTTGCATATAACATCTCATTAAATCTTCAGAATAACCCTAGAGGCAGAGATTATTATCCCCTTTTGGCTACCAAGAAACTTGAGACTCAGAGAGTTTATGTCCACAAGCCCAGAAAATAGCAGAACTGGGATTTAAACCCAGGTCCCTAGATCCAAGGACCATAAGTTCTAGAGGTGGGAAACGAGAACACTGTTCTCTCTCTCACGTTGGTTCCTTAGGAGATTTTTCTATACCATCTGTTATCTTTTCCATTTTCTACATCTGGACAGCCACACCTACCCTATTTCCCAGGTAGTGTGAATTGGGGATGAGAATGAGGGAAGGTCCCACTAACTAACTTCCTTGAAAAATCTGTTCTCAGATTTTAAATGGTAAGTTTTCCTAGTTTCCCCCTTTTTTTCAGTGCTTTATATTAAAAAATAAAGTAGTATCTTTATTATTTCCTCTGGAAAAAGAAAGATATTTTATCCAAAGACAGTCCACTGCCCTTTTAAGTAATCTTCTAAAGTACAGCTTTTTCTAATCTTTATTCTACTGAAATTTAAGCCTATTCCTCTTGCTTCGTATTATATTTGCTGTCAACTAACAGGTAGATTTTTACAATGCCAGTCCTGTGTTCATTTCCTCCCCGGGGCCCACAACTATAATTCAGGTTGTTGTCACCAGGTAACAAGGAAAATCGCAGGTGCTGGTGGAGAGCCTCAGGAAGTGTCCCTGAATGAGTCCAGACTCTGTGGACCCTGCCCAACAATAAGCTTCCCCCCTGTGCTGGGAGCAAATGGGTAAAGAAGTGGAGACAATCACAGCCTGTATTCTCCATCCAGAAGACAGGCTGCCAATGTGTAATGAGGAAGGAGGATTATGCAGGATTTAAAGGTTCTCTGTTGAAAGTTTCTTTTTCTTTGATAAATACGCCATATCTAAAGTTTGTCAGAAGTCCTTCAGTTTGAGAAATTAAGCTTGTTTGCTCATTCTTTCAATAAATGTGTGTCTATAAACAGACTGGGGAGGGAGAAAGTTGTCAATCATTGTCCCAAATGGAGTAAAAGGTCGCAGTGGGACGTTTCCACGCGCCTTCAATTTCTGCCCTACAGAAAACAATAAAGGGTTACGGGGAGGGGGGAATGGCTCTTTCCCCCCAGGAGTTGCTCCCAGCAAGGAACTTTCCCTCCACCCTCTTCACTGAGACCATCGGCTAGTCTGCTCAGAGGGACCTGGCTGCAGATGACCTCTGTCATCGCCCCCAGAACTGCATGAGCTCACTCTGCCAATTCAAGGGGCTGAGCCGTTGCAGACCCCACCTTTGGGTAGAGGGAACAGATTCACTGTTCTCTCTTACACAGGCTGTTGTCCCTACCATTCCACCAAAATTGAGAGTTCCCTGTGACCGTTATGTTGCTAAATGCAATCGTCTGTTCTAGATCTGGTGGTCAGCTCTCAGCCCTGTCCATTTTTTTTTAAGTTAATTTTTACTGGAGTATAGCTGCTTTACAATGTTGTGTTAGCTTTTACTGCACAGCAAAATGAATCAGCCATACATATACATATATCCCCTCCCTTTTGGATTTCCCTCTCATTTAGGACACCACAGTGCATGAAGCAGAGCTCCTTGTGCTATACAACATGTTCCCCTCAGTTGCCTAATTTATACATAGTATCAATAGTGTATATGTGTCAATCCCAGTCTCCCATTTCCTCCCAACCCACCCCTTTCCCCCTTGGTATCCATACATTTGTTCTCTACATTTGTGTCTCTATTTCTGCTTTGCAAATAAGGTCATCTATACCATTTTTCCAGATTCCACACATATGCATTAATATACGATATTTGTTTTTCTCTTTCTGACTTACTTCACTCTGTATGACACTCTCTGGGTCCATCCACGTCTCTACAAATGACCCACTTTCGTTCCTTTTCATGGCTGAGTAATAGTCCACTGTACATATACCACATATTCTTTATTACTCTGTTGATGGACATTTAGGTTGCTTCCATATCCTGGCTGTTGTAAATAGTGCTGCTATGAACACTGGGGTGCACGTGTCTTTATGAATTATGGTTTTCTCTGGGTATATGCCCAGTAGTGGGATTGCTGTGTCATATGGTAGTTCTACCTTTAATTTTTTAAGGAAACTCCATACTGTTTTCCATAGTGGTTGTATCCATTTACATCCCAGTGTTAAGAGGGTTCCCTTTTCTCCACACCATCTCCAGTATTTATCGTTTGTAGATTTTTTTCTTTTTTTGGCTACTTTGGGTCTTTGTTGCTATGCGTGGGCTTTCTCTAGTTGCAGCGAGCGGGGGCTACTCTTTGTTGCGGTGCACACGCTTCTTATGGTGATGGCTTCTCTTGTTGCGGAGCACGGGCTCTAGGCCCATGGGCTTCAGTAGTTGTGGCACACAGGCTCAGTAGTTGTGGCTCACGGGCTCTAGAGCGCAGGCTCAACAGTTGTGGTGCACAGGCTTTGGTGCTCCATGGCATATGGGAGCTTCCCAGACCAGGGCTCAAACCTGTGTCCGCTGCATTGGCAGGCGGATTCTTAACCACTGCACCACCAGGGAAGTCCCAAGATTTTTTGATGATGGCCATTCTGACCG